CCCCCCCCCCCCCCCCGTGCTAGGGGCCCGGGCCAGAAAATTGGTACCAGGGCCCGAGATGGGATGTGGCGGGCCTGACCCCAGCGACGCCATAGGCGCAATTTCCGGAATCGATAGCTCAAAAGCGCAACTGTGATAAGCCCATGAGCGTAAATTTTCTATCGCGCAAAAGCTCAAATGAGTATCGAATGATTAGGCATGAGTTTCGATACATCGAACGTAGCGCAAATGAAAGAAATCAAAATTAAAGTAAAAATGAAAAGAACAGGCATCAGTTTTTACTGTTGCATTGCACTTTTTTGTAACGCACCTCCACGAGACACTCCCGTTCCGCAGTTTTCGCTGTCTACGATGCCTATAATCATCGACGATCACAAACACAACGATTTTATTGGTATAACTTTTTTTCAAATTTCATACTATCAGAGAGGCTCTGAGTTTACTGGAGCACTGGGGAGATACTGATTTGTGTGAAAAGTTCAACATCCGAACCTTAGGTCCAACCAAAGGATGCGTAATCAAATCGTAGTCCTCGCAGTTACGTGTGACCTAACTTTGCGATACGTCCCATTAATGCGATATATCGATCGGTTTATCAACTTTACGTAATAGTCCCCCAACAAGACAGAACATAAGCACAAATCGCTCCGTTTGCGCTTTTGGAATGTCGATTTCGGAGAATTGGGCGTGAAAGCTGCACCGAGAGGAAGAGTGGCGTGGCGTGCTTTGCGATACATCGATTGATTTGCCATTTAAACCTATGGAAAATGATCGATAGACCGTGTGTTCGCAATGAACACCTTAATAATCGATTCTTTACCATAGTTTCAAATGGGGAAATATCGATAATTGATCATTCACGCCTCGCCACTGGAGAAGAAACTTTCGTCATTCATAGCTGTATCTTAAAAATCTTTTGCCCTTACAAATTCTTCCCTCCTATTCTTAGGTAGTTCACATTTCATTGACAAATGCCTTTCGAATAGTATCTGTTAAGAGGCAAAAAACTATCGGTAAAATTCAACAGAATCAATTCGTAAATAGATCCATCCAAGCGATTGTAATCATTTGACGCTGCCAGAAATACGCATAACACGGAAAAGAAAATTCTGTGATTTTGATATTAAGGTGGGTATGACCATAATTGAATCGGTTTCTGTGAAACAGGCTTGAGTCCAAAGACTTATGATCCCTAAAGTCTCGGTTTTTTTGGAGAGAAAATATCGCATTCGAGTGCAGTTTTGATATCAGTATCGAATGCGATGTTTTCTCTCTGGAAAAACCACGCCTTTATTACGTTGAATTTCTTTGTTAAAATTGGTGAGTGAGTGCTTTAGTCTCCCGACAACAGAATTTCGATCTCAAAATTGGAGGAAAATGACGAGTAGCTGAAAAAATGGAACCAGTTGATGCGATATATCGCATGCCGTTCTGACACGAAATATGGCGTCCATCGAATCACCTTAATGACACCAATACTGCTTAACTAAAATTTGGGTCTGGATCTTATCACAATTTAATCTAACAAAAAAACAAAAACAATAAATTGAATAGGACGGAATAGAATTAAAAATTCAAATTTAGCAAAAAATGTCATAAAAAACCCCCATTTTTTAGGTACATCGTATGTTTGCATAATATATCAGACCCTAATCTCTACTACTACGGAGACCGAGTCAAGGGATTTATGCTGTACAAAAACAAACCACTGGAGAGGAAACTTTTGACATTCATAGCTGTATCTTAAAAATCTAAATCTAATCTTAAATTCTAATCTAATTCTAATTCTAATCTAATTCTAATTCTAATCTAATCTTCTTAAAAATCTTTTTCCCTTACGAACTATTCCCTCCTATCCTTTCGTAGTTTACATTTCGTACGTTACGTTACATTACGTAGTATACAAAGATATACGGAGCCACAAGGTCCCCAAAACATACCTTAATGACACCAATACTACTTAACTAAAATTTAGGTGTGGATCTTATCACAATTTAATTTAACAAAAAAACAAAAACAATAAATTGAATAGGATGGAATAGAATTAAAAATTCAAATTTAGCAAAAAGTGCCATAAAAAATCCCCATTTTTTAGGTACATCGTATGTTTGCATAATATATCAGACCGTGATCTCTACTGCTACGGAGACCGGGTCAAGGGATTCATGCTGTACAAAAACAAAATAACGGACTCGTTTCTGGTCTGTATGCTGGTGTTCATGTACAGCCTCGGCATATTCAATGGGATCGTCTCACCGATCCTCAGGTTCGGCTTAGACTTCGATGATTGGTTCATCGTCATCCCGATGTGGTACCCGATCGACGTCACCTCATCGCGGAGAGTCTTTTGGTTCGTTCTCCTCTTCGAGACTGTTATAATTTGGTACCTTTCCTTTGTGTTCGCCACCATGGGCGTCCTGTACATACACACTATTCTGAGCATTCGCGCCGAGTTCGAGACGCTGAATCAATACCTGGAAAATGATGGGCGCGGTCACTCGTCTCAAACTCAAGAGTCGCTTTTTAAAACGTCAGAAAAAGGTATGAGCACTTTTAAGTTGATTGGTTTATTTCGAGAACGGCAAGATGGTAAAACAGTAATCCAGTTTTCTGCCTTCCCCCTAAAATTTTAGGAGCCACCTTGGCCGGAAAGCTCAATTATTAGGAGCCATCAATTTTTTTTTTGGAGCTAAATTAAATTTTTGCATACGAACCATGGCGATGCTGCGAAAAGTGGGTATAGTGGGCACCAATTGAGGGGAAAATAGGGCCAAAAAGTTCACAAATTTCAATCAGGGTAAAAAAAATTGAGCTCTAATGAGTACCAGTCCAATAAGGACTGTAGGAGGAGAGTGTTCAGCTCAGGCAGCTTGCATTTGAATATTAAATTGCGGTCGTTCGTATCGAGATCTGTATCGTTTTGGGTCTTTTTAGACCTCATTAGTAGATCACCTCCGCCAGTGAACACCATGACTCGACGCTCTTCCCTCATTAGAGCTAAAATTTTTTGACTGAACTGAAATTTTTGAACCTTCGTCTTCGTTCTCTCTGAAAAATAGTGTGGCTGCAGCATCATCCATGTGGAGTGGACCTCAGCACCTCCGCAGAGAGAGGAGATGGGTGCAGAATCAGTTGAATATCTCGGCAATCCTCAAGGCTATAATAAAGACGAAAAGCTCTTTTTAACACCAAGAGTAGTCCCAATACAAATATTTTTAAATTCTGCTCTACCCTAACAATTTGCAGAGAATTAAAATAATGGAACTAAATTATTGGGAAAGTTTTGTGAAACTAAATATTTTTATAAAATCAAATGACTAAAAGCAATTAAAGCTTTAGCGATAAAACAACCGAAACAAAACCATAACCTGACCTTCAATAGCGGCAAAAATACGGGTGTGACTGCTAATTTAACATTTTCTCGCTTTTCTTAAACTTAGTCAGTTGAATATAATGCATGAGTTGCGTATTCTTACTTGACATATTTTTAAAATAAATACGGTTATTTTTTTTCAAGTAGGGTGGAAACCTAAAACTATCTTCGACCTGGGAATGTTCAATAATACTAGATTCAGCGATGATTTCGATGGAAATTGTAGTCATTTGAAACGAGTGATTCAAGATTGGCAAACATTGAGAGGGTAACTATTTTCTTGGATATTTTTTGTTTTGACGCTTTTTTGCGTTGCCTCCCCCCCCCCCCCCCCTCCCACCGGTGCAATGTACCTTATGACTTGCAAATCTGACTCATGAGACCAGGTGCCATTTCCTCAATGGCGCCAACGGTTGTGATTTTAAGTTTATTTTTTGTCACCTTCACCTGTTACATTCTTAAATTTTTTGTTCATTCTGTGATCTGAAGATCCCGCTCTTCAAACAATTCACAATTACACAACTGTTTATTAACAGTTACATACAATAATATTAAACGTTAAAGGTAGGGACATTTGAAATTAAAACATGAGTATTTTGATTATGTCATAACAGGGCATGTTTTTAATAAGGACACACGGGAGGTTATGAAAAAAGTCCGAATGAACTCAGCTGAGATGAGGCGTATTAATATTTGCTCTCCCGGCATTATCATATTCCAATTAAAAATTGCCGTCAAATAGTTTCCATTGAAAAATAAAATATGACGGGGAGTCAGCTACGTCAGACACCGAGATAATTGATCGCAAACTTACACCGCCGAAATTTTAACCTTTGGAACGGCGCGCTCTTCAACACGTTCGTGTTGAAACGTCTTGTTCTATTTTTTGCATATTGGAACGCTAAATTTTAGAAAAATTGCCGGCTAAAAACACATACCTACACATATATCTACTGATTCTGTTCCGTTAACATGTTTGGTGGACTATTCTAACCTAATAATTAGATAAATCATCACTGATACGGAAAGGTAGTTATGCAAATGCTTGTTTCGCCTTCAGTCTTCGAAGTGGGCCACATATCATGCAGTTGGCGCTAACAGTCGTCAATTCGAGAAACAGACTGTCGTGTCTCGGTCCTCGGAGCATCTGCAAATTCTGCTTCGGGAAAAAGAACCTGAAATGGCACCCGTGCTGCTTCACGGTACATTAGGCCAAACTTCAACATAACGACTATGGACCACTAGACAAGGTACGAATTTAAGCATTCTGAAACATGTAACTTAGCCAGAATTTCACGTAGAACACGATTCGCGCAACGAAAATTACTGAAATCAACTCCTAAAGAAGATATTAACGTTTTTATTTCACATTGATTACGAGGAATTCGAACTGCCCGCTCACAAGAAACTCAAAGCTCTACGTGAGTCAAATCGCGCACTACAACGGTTTCAGCAAGCTTCTCAATCGAGCAATGTTCATTTTCCACCATGTGTTGTTCAAACTATTGGTAATTTGCCATAGCTGAGCCAAAGTGTCAAGAAAGAGGTTGCCAGATTTTTGATCGCAAAGACGTTCATGATAACGTTTAGCGCGCGTTGAGAATCACGTAGAGCATTGAGTTTTCATGAGCGGGTGGTTTCAATTCACGCACAAAGAATCATTAAATATCTTCGGAAGGAGTTGATTTCGGTAATTTTCGTTGTGCGCATCGTGTTTTACGTGAAATTTTGATGAAGAAACAAGTATCAGAATGCTGAAATTCGTACCTTGTCTAGTGGTCCATTGTGTCCGTTTATGCAAGATTCAATGATAGATGATACTTAAATATTTGTAAAATAATTCTCATTCAAATATCTATGAGGAACAGCTATAGTGCGTTCCCAGTGCATAAGTGGAAAATACCGCTGTTTGTTATAATATCTTTTTATAGTTTGAGGCGCTACGTGCTACGATACGAGTACATTCTCTAATTATCTTTCTTTCTCTCTCGGCATTCTCTCTCTTCTCTCTCATGGGAGAATTTGAGAATTGAGATTTTGTGTCTTCATCTACCTGTGGCGCGGTGTATATTCACACGAAGTTGTAATACATTGATCCATAATGTATCACCAAAGTTTTTTTTTTTTTTTTTTTTTTTTTTTTTTTTTTTTTTTTTTTTTTTTTTTGGTTCGGGTAAACGTAGTTTTTGGTCCTCGGAATCAAAGCTCGATGAACTGAGCCAAGACTTGGTTTTTGGGACCAAAAACTTCGTCATCTGAATCGAAAAACTTTGAGATTCAATATATAAACTAAAATTTTCCCCTTATCTATTGAATTGACTATTTTAAATTAAATGGACCTTTTCTTTTCACAGTCATGCGAAGCTAACTGGAGAGATTTTTGCAGTGTACTACACAGCGGCCTACGTGTTAGGCGCAGCCACAATTACAATTATGGCGTATGCAGCCATATACGTAAGTATTTAAACTAAAACTTATGATTCTAATCTCAAAGGCTATGCTGATATTCTCATCGGAGCATAGCTGCCTCGCAATCAAAGAGTGTCGTTAGAACAATTGGATCGCATTTAGCAAAAAGGAACCAGCGCGATTCCAGTGTTTTCAAAATCTTGCAACTTCTTTTTTCCTTTAAAAAATACTCAATATATGTACACATTTACACGATTATTTTCCTCTCAAATGAACAAAATTTTCGGTGAGAGGAAAACATATTTGCTGTTTTGGGAGATTTCTTAGATAATTCTGAAGAAGCAACATTTCTACAACACTGTTATTGCGCTGGTCAGTGGCGTGGCGTGCTTTGCGATATATCGATTGATATGCTACTCAAACCTATGAAAAAAGATCGATTACCAGGGTGTTCGCAGCGAACACCTTAGTAATCGATTCTTTACCATAGCTTCAAATGGCGAGATATCGATAATCGATCATTCACGCCACGCCACTGGCGCTGGTTCCTATTTCCTAAATCCAATCCAAATGAATTCGTCAAATTCTCCTAGAAAATAATGTTTTTATATTTTTATTGGCATTTTTCAAAAAATTGAAAAAACTCCACACGCTATTTCTTTTGCTAGGGTGTTCACAGAATATACTCAAACTATACTAACCGATTTATTATAGACCCGTAAATCGTAAAAAAGGAGAGTATAGTAAATAATACCGAAATTGGCCAATTTGAATATTTAGACAGAAAAAGTTGGTGACCTAGCCAACGTGCGTCAAATATCAGCTTGAAGCTGAAAATCTCAATGTATGTATGTATAAGCCGCTTTTACGGCGCGCTAGGGCGCTTTGCGAGGCCTACTCGCCACAGGAATCTGTCATGGTAGAGATCCTCCGGAAGCTGGACATCTCTCCATCTCTTCACGGGTGCCCTCTATACTCACCGTTTTGCTGGACGTCTTCTCCTACCTACTAGGGCTCTACCTAGGCTTGACAACCGAGTTATAAAACCTCTTTTTGTTGTCCTCGGAAATCCTTCCGTCCCAAAGAATCCCATTAAACATGGCGATGGCATTGCTTCCTTGAAGATTACGGTCCCGAATGGCCTGATCCAACTTCCCATCAGAAGTTAGCTTCACCCCCAAGTATTTGTATTGTTCTCAACTTTCTATATGTTGACCATCCTCCAGAGCTATGCTTTACTGAGCACCTTGGATCTTTTTCGTCTGACGGACACTAACCTCGAGGCTCCACTTGCGGTACTCCTCAACCAACTTCCGGGTCATATACTCCGCGTCATCGTGATTTTAACTTATGACTACCTGTTCATGAGCAAAGCATAGCGTGAACAGTGTATCTCGGTCATTCTGAGGAACGCCCACCCAGGCACACTTTCTTTTACATTCCTTCAGAACGTTCTCCAGATATATCTGAAATAGGGTTGGTGACAGACAACACCCCTATTTAAGCCCCTTGGTGACACAAAGACCGTCTTCAAAAAAACTTATATGAGCGTTTTCCCTCTGTATTGAGATTTTCAGATTTAAGCTGATTTTTCCCGCACGTTGGCTACGTCACCAACTTTTTCTGTCTAAATGACTTGTGGGCCTACTGCAATCAGTTTGTAGAATTCGAATATTGTCTTTACTTTTGGCTGTTGATCCCCCTCGCATTTTTTCCCCCAATAAAGTTTTTTTCTCTTCTTATTATTGTTTTTACTCAGACTATCAGGACTACTGAATCGATGGGGAAAATGATCAGTGAAACAGCGATGTATTTCTCCTGGATGGTAGGCACAACAGGCCACCTTGGCCTACTAAGTTTAACCACGAATTTATTTCAAAATACTGTAAGTAATGCTCATTCAGGTTAAATCAGTGTAGGTTCAGGATACTTCAATGCCGTTACTTAGCGCACTACCGATTCACTATGTTCAAGTATAATACTCATTTTTTTTTTCAACATAATTGAGCAGGGTGCTCAATCCCCCAAGATTTGTGGTTTGAAAGAGAGCAGTGGAGGTTAGGAGTCGTAGAGCGCGAGGGAGTGCTGTAAAGCGACTTATATGTATGTATTGAGCAGGGCAGGATTTATCTACTTGCCGCCCATGGGCCGCCTGTATTTTGCCGCCCCTTCTCATTCGTTTTGAAACATCAATAAAAACCATCAAGTGAACGTGCCGGAGGGTAAGGGGTGCACAAGACGCGTATACTTGTGTTGGACACATTTTTTGGGAAAGCCCTTTCAACACTACTAGCAAAAGTTCACGGAACTTTGCGCGAAAGTTAAGCTCCGTAAACCTATCTCTGTGTGGACAAGGCCTTCTATTCATAAGAAATGAACGAAATAATTATGAATGAACAAACATACATGTAGTTTAATGATCTTAACTTCCGCCGCCGCGCCGCGCAGACAACACTGTGTTTGGCGCAATGCGTGAAGTATTCCGACAGTCTTGTAGGCGCTAAGCGTTTCACGCTGACCGCACTGTCTTTGGCGCAATGCGTGAAGTATTCATGCATTCTTGTAGGCGCTATCCTTTTCACGCTGACTGCGGTTACCGCACTGCGTTTGATGCAATGCGTGAAGTATTCGTGCAGTCTTGTAGGTGCTATATGTGTTACATGCCGACCGCCGCGCCGAGGGCTTCTCCTTTTCATCTCAAGTTCTCGTCATCATTTCTCTCTAAGTCGCGCCGTTCCAGGCCAAATTGCGTGTTTGGTTTCTCTCTTAATTCGAATAATTAAAGGTGCTGATTGGCATTATGATCAATTGGATCGCATTCAGCAAAAAAGAACCAGCGTGTAAAGTGCTGTAAAAATGTTGCTTCTTCTCAATTATCTTAAAATCTCCCAGAATATCGTAAATAGTTTGCACTCCCCACAAAAAAATTGTTACGTTTAAGGGAAAATAATTGTACAAATTATAATACCGCGCACATATCAAGCATTTTTAAAAGAAAATAAAAAGTTGCGCGATTTTGAAAACACTGTAACCGCGCTGGTTCCTTTTTGCGAAATATGATCCAATTAACATTAGAATTTTTCAATTTTTTTTTAAAAATATAATTTCGTTTCAAATTGAGATATGTTCAAAGTTATTCTACTAAATGTTCAAAAACAAGATTATCACAGTGATAAGTATAAAATGGTACTTTTAGAATCCAAGATGTCACAATTGTATCTGTAAATCCGTAGATGCTGACTTGGCTGTCCACGCAGTTAAATTTGCATTTTCAGGATGTATAAAGTTAACTGCCGGGGCAGTGAAGCCATACGTTGGCTCAGACGATACAACTCGCGAACGAAAAAATTCAGATTTGTAAAACCGGAACTAATCTTTTCCTGTTTCAAGGAGTATTGTATTTGATCAAACATCATTTTTTGAAATTGAAATATTCCTATATTTACGGTCAGAGTAGAAGAATCATAATTTAAATATTTCTGGTTTCAGTATGACGACACAAGAATCACTCTCGGGGAGGGCAACTGGCATGAAAAGTCAATGAAATATAAAAAAATATTTCTTTCTTTTACTTTGGCTCTGAATAGGTCATTCCAAATGAAAGCTCTTACTTTCGTCCCGGTAGATCTGAGGCACTTCTCAAATGTAAGTGGTTTCTGTGAGTTTAGATAAAATAAGAAATATGTCAGCAGAACAATTTATCATATAGAAAAGAAGAGAATAATTAGAATGTGGTAAAAATAATAATGATCAAAGGCAGGGCCGGATTTACCTACTTGCCGCCCATTGGGAGCCTGTATTTTGCCGCCCCCTTTTTATTCGTCTAGAAGCATTAATAAAAACCATCAAGTGAACGTGCCGGAGGGTAAGGGGTGCACAAGACGCGTATACTTGTGTTGGACACATTTTTTGCGAAAGCCCTCTCAACACTACTAGCAAAATTTCACGGAACTTTGCGCGAAAGTTAAGTTCCGTAAACATATCTCTGTTTAGACAAGGTCCTCCATCCACATATAAATGTGGTTTAATACTTTTAACGTCCGCTGATTCGCCGCGCCGGGCTGATCGCACTGTGTTTTGCGCAATGCGTGAAGTATTTATGCAGTCTAGAAGGCGCTACGCGTTTCACGCCAACCGCTCCTGACCGCACCGTGTTTGACGCAATGGGTGAAGTATTCGTGCAGTCTTGTGGGCGCTAATATATGTTACATGTCGACTGCCGCTCCTTGCCGAGGGCTTGTCATTTTTATCTCAATTCCTCGGCATCATTCCTCTCTGCGCTGAGCTCCAGGCCAAATTGCGTGTCTTAGTTCCTCCCTTAGCTCGACTAATTAAAGACGCTGTCTCTTTTATCACCGAAAAACGATAAAATTAGAAATTACTATACTCTCAGGAAAGAGAGATTTTGTCCCGTTTTCTCATTGATAATTTTTCTTACTGAATCCGATTTTTTTATACCTAAAATTAAGAAAATTGCACAATTTGCCGCCCCCTAACAGCGCAAGTCTCTGGTCAATTTGACTCGGCCTTGACATTTAAGGGTTAAAGGTGGAACAGTTTAGATTTTTAGATAAAAACCTGACCACACATTGAAATGCTGCGAGACCAGTTTTAAAAATTTAATATAATCTCTGTCACCTCACTGAAACAAAGAGGCCTGTTCGAGCCCACTGTGGCTCTCCCTTGTTCCACCGTCCAAGCCTCAACCGCGCACTTTCTCCGCCCCCGCGCAGGGAACCGACTGTGCGCCGACGAGAGGGATCTCTCCAGCTTTTCATCCCTGACCACCAGAGTTCGGGGTCTCATTTACATGCCCGTTCCCTTGTTTTTTCTAAGTTTTGAAAAGATAGGGGTTCGGCCAGTTCTCTGGTGAAATCAGACGCTCTCGACTTTGCCCTCGTCGCGCCCTAGTCGGAGCTCTCAATCCCATCCTTTCCACCCCGTGCACGCACGTTTACTGCTGCACAAGCCCTGGCTCGCACGTCTACTGCAGCTTTCCTATCCTTGTGCTCGCACGTATACTGCAGCACCCTGTCCCTGTGCTCGCACGTATACTGCAGCGCACCTTCTCCTATGTGCACGCACGACTAATGCTGCGCCTCCATCCTTCACCTGTCCCTTAACGTATTTCCCCCGGACATAAGGATTCAAGTGTTATAATCCTATGTATGTATGTATTTGTCGTGTTTTCCCTGTGTAACGTGTACATATTTGTTGAGAAATAAAGATTAGAACTTTAAGATTAAGATCTCCTGCTGATGATCCATGTCGTGGGCTCGTAGCGGCAAATCGACTTTCTGAAGGAATCTTACATATCTTGGTTCTAGTCACGGCTCCTATTTCTCAGCTGGTCCCTCGCGCTCCCGCCCATTTTGGTCCCTCGGGCCGGATCCTTTATTAAAATAATTGAGACACCAGTCCTTAGGTGTTACTAGTCTCATATTTTAAATTAATGTCCTTAGATTTGTTGATTGAAATAACAGCAATCTAATTTTCAATTTGCTTAAACATTTTTTGAGTTCAAGATTTTGTAGTTTAGTCATTTTGTGTTCATTAATTTCTCAAATCCAAAATGCCTAAATTATCAAAAAGGAACCGAAAAAGTTTAAACAATGACGATATCGTCAATCTGGAAGACGAGTTTGGAAGTGCGCCTTCCAACTTAAATGCCGCAAGCATTCTTACAGCGAAAAGAAACACCGTCTACAATCGCGTGGAAACGATTTTGAAGACCTTTGAGAAGGATCTCTCAGCAGAAAACTCAAGTCAATTCAAGATTTTCTACGAAAGACTATCAACTTATCAAGAACAATTTGATGAGCTTCAGGCGGAAATCCTCAGCTTAAACGCTTCGCTCCCAGATGACACTCAAATTGAGTTCAAAAGAACTCAAGGAAAATTCGACAGCATGATACACTCTGCGGAAACGCTGTATCTCTCGTGCTGTCCGAAAATCGCCGAGACAGCGAGCCATGACGCTTCCGCATCCAGCGGAGCCTCGCGCGGCCGAATCCAACTCCCGAAATTGCCCTTGCCGCGTTTTTCGGGTAAATTAGAAGATTGGCGCTCCTTCTACAATCTCTTTGCAGCTTCCGTGCATAACGAGAAGGAGTTGCCCACAGTGAGGAAATTTCAATATCTCTTAAGCTCCCTTGAAGGTAGCGCTCGGGACCTAGTCAAAGGTCTTGACATCACTGAAACAAATTATGACGTAGCTTGGAAACTTTTGTGTCAACGCTATCAATGTGAACGTCGTCATATTTACTACCACTACAATGGACTTTTGGGACTGCCAGAAATTAAGGATTTGAAACACATTCCGAACTTCCTCACGAAAGTGCGTGAACATACGCAAGCACTTGAAGGATTGGATCACAAACTTCAAGATTATTCATCCATGCTGACAGCTGTGATCACCGCCAAGATGACGTTTTATTTCAGAAAACGCTTTGATGACTATCGCGGTGCAGATGTAAAATACCCTAAACTTGAGAGCATTCTCGACTTTCTCGAAAAAGAGTGTCTGCAGATCGAAAGCTCTTCCATGGATTCTTCCAGCAACAAGGCTCAGGCGAAGGATTCACAAGTTTCCAGGGGTACCAACTTAACATCAAATCCGTCAAAATCGCACAATAGTTCCCACAAGGTTTTTCTCAACAGTGAAATAGTTGAGTCTACAAATACTTGTGAATTGTGCTCTGGAAATCACGGCCTGTACAAATGCAATAAATTTAAGCGCCTTTCTCCAAGCGCGCGAAAAAGCAAGGTAATCGAATTACGCAGGTGTACCAACTGCTTGTCTAAAAAACACGAAACTGCTGCCTGCGCTAGCGAATATTCCTGTCGATGTTGCAAACAACAGCATCATAGCCTACTGTGTTCAAATCAACGGAAAAACGTCGATGGAGCATCCAATTCTAATTCGCCCCCGGAGAACATCAAAGTGCATCTTTCCTCAGAGTTTGACACTCTGCCGTCTCGAAATTTCACTTCTCTCCTTGGTACTGTGCTTCTCAACGTTAAGTGCCCTGATAACTCATATAAACCTGTGCGAGCAATTGCTGACAGTGGCGCTATGTCATGTTTCATCAGTTATGAGTGCGTTAAGCGCCTTCAATTACCAATGTATGCAACCGACACTGAAATTTCAGGTATCGGTAATCAAGCGGTAAAACCTCTCGGTGAAGTGAAATGCACGCTGAAACCTCGTCAAAATTCTGAGCCGATACTCCATGCTCGTGCCACCGTTCTCTCTACAATCACAAACTCAATTCCTACTCAACCTGTCACGCCCGAAGTTCGAAAATTTTGGAGTCAGCTTGAACTCGCGGATCCAGCTTTTGACCAAGTCGGCGAAATTGACATGATTTTGGGAGCTGATCTTTTTCCCTATATTCTCACGGGGGAACGAAAGTTGACAGAGAGCAATGGCTGCGCCCTACAGAGCATTTATGGTTGGATAATTATCGGCCGAGTGAGCACATCGAAAAAACCGAAAAGGCAAAAGCAGAAAAGCTTTTTGTCCATCGATGGTCTGCCACTCAGCGCAGATTTTAAGAAATTTTGGGAAACAGAGGAGCCACAGGAACATCAGGTGATGAGTCCCGATGACATCTTTTGTGAACAACAATTTGAAAAACTTCACTATCGCCAACCTGATGGCCGTTACGTGGTTCCGCTCCTCCTGAAAAATCCTAATCCGGTGTTGCCAAATTCACGCGCATTAGCCGAAAATCGTTTGAAATCTGTGGAAAGAAAACTTCACAAGCAACCTGAGCTGAAACACGCTTACAAGGAATTTATGAATGAATATGAGCAGCTTGGACACATGCAGTTAGCCCCCAGCAGTACGGAAGCCCGCTATTACATTCCGCATCATGCAGTGGTGCGCGAAAATGCACTATCGACGCGCGTTCGTGTCGTTTTTGACGCCTCTATGAAAGCTAGCAACGGGATCAGTCTCAATGAAAATTTGCACACCGGTCCAAAATTGCAAGCAGATATCGTCCACCTTTTGATCAGATTTCGCACGCATAGAGTTGCCCTTACTGGTGATATTTGTAAGATGTTCCGCCAAATCTTGATACGCCCAGAAGATAGGCAATATCAACACATACTTTGGCGAAATGACGAAACTTCCCCTCCAAAAGATTTTGAGCTGTGTACTGTCACTTATGGTACCGGCCCAGCTCCGTATTTAGCGCATCGCACAATGAAACAACATTCAATAAACGAAAGGCAAGAATTTCCAGAAGCCTGCAAAGTGTTGGATGACGCTGTTTACACCGATGACATTTTCACTGGTCATGACACAGTTGAAGAAACTGTGAATCTGCGAGTTGAAATCACTAAGTGCTGTGAAAAAGGAGGCTTTCCTGTGAAAAAATGGAGCAGCAGTCACCCTGAAGTTTTGGAAGGTTTAGAGAATGGGGATATGGCCATACCGCTGGAATTTCACAATGACGCTGAAAGCACCCACGGAGTGGTAGGCGTAAAATGGCATCCTTCTTCTGACACATTTTCTTACAATGAAGTGAATTTATGTGGCAAACTCACGAAAAGAGGCATACTCTCAGATATCGCAAGAATATTTGATCCCTTAGGTTACATTACTCCTGTAGCTTTATGTGCAAAAATAATCATTCAACAATTATGGATTGTCGGTGCAGATTGGGACGACCCCGCCCCGCCAGATATTGGTAAAATGTGGTCAAAAGTTTTGAGTCAATTGCACCTCTTAACTTATTTGAAAATCCCAAGATGGATTTTCCCATCCAAGTCAAAACTGATCACATTGATTGGATTTTCATATGGATCTGAGCAAGGATATGGTGCCACGATCTACGTACGCTCTGAAAATGACGAACAACTTAATGTGAATCTTTTAATCGCAAAATCCAAGGTGGCTCCTGTCAAGCCACAAAGTGTGCCTCGTCTAGAGCTAAGTGGCGCTAACCTTTTAGCTAAAACTTTCGCGAGCACACTTAAAGCCCTTGAACCTTCGAAATATCGCGTTGAAAAAATTGTAACACTTACGGACTCAACCACGACGTTGAGTTGGATCACCTCGCCTCCGTACAAACTGTCTACTTACATCGCAAATCGAGTGGTTTCAATTACTGAAAAATTGTCCCCGGATCTGTGGTACCATGTACCAGGTGATGAAAATCCCAGCGATCTGGCATCCAGACCAGTTTTGCCGCAAAACCTCGTAAATAATCCTGTATGGTGGAAATGCCCTAACTGGCTCTCTGGACCTGAAGAATCTTGGAAAATTACTCCAATCGAAAAGATAAAATTAAAGGCTATCCCTGAGCTTAAAAATGTCAAAAAAGCCTTTATTACCCAAACTACGGATATTTTAAGCCGTTTTTCAAGCCTGACTCGACTCCGCAACTCAATTGCCTGGTGTTTTCGTTTCATCTCTAATTGTCGAGCTAAAATTGATCAAAAGAAGAAAAATTCAGCCACGAAAATTGCTCAAGGAGAACTTTCAATTGAAGACTCCTCCATGCTGACAATTTTTAAAATTGGTTCAACTTCAAAATTTTGCTCAAGACATTCAAGCACTACGCAGCGGAAAAACGGTCAGCAATCAAATTCTAAGTTTGAACCCCTTCATTGATCCCCTAGGAGTGCTTAGGGTGGGGGGTAGACTCGATAAATCCAATTTGCCGATGGCCGCCAAGCATCCAAGCAAAGACGGCATTGTTCGTGTCGCGTCAGTAAAAACAACGGGCAACACATTGCGTCGGCCGCTCGTGAAACTCTTTCGCCTTCCCGTCGATTGAGATTTGGGCCTCTTCATTGTTGTAAATTTTACGTTTAAATGTGTGTAAATAGAAGTATTTTAGTGTTATTTCTGTAGGTTAAACGTTCCCATTTTAACTCAGCATGAACAGCTGATCCGTCTCGTTCGGGAGAAAATACCCGCTAAGGGATGAACCTTGCGCAGCCTCGGCTGGTTTTATGACTTTCTTCCTGTCACGCCGCGCCGCACGCCGAGTCGCAACCCTCCAGGCCACCCCGTCACTTTCTTCCTTTGTTTTGGGCCACTTCGAGCGATGAATGACCCGAGCCGCGGCCAGTGCATCGTCCACCCCCGCATCCCCTGACTGGAACTGCTTTCTACAGTGCACGTGCACCCCATCCAGACCTCTCGCCTCGGCTCAAAATTAGGTCATCATCCCCCGCTCAAACATCAATGAATTAGCATGTCGAAAACTGATCGAGTCAGCCCTTTCACTTAGCTCGTCAATCAGTCTCTACGCTCGTCGCTAATCAGCCCTTGTTATTCTTGTGTAAATTCGTTGAATTCTCTAATTTTGTTTGTAAATTTTAATCTGTGTTCGCTCTGAATTGTTTGTTAACTTTTTTTTCACAAATTCAGATATTTTCTCCCCTCGAATGAGCTTTAATGTAAGCCTCTTAATTATTTTATGTTTTTTCTTGTGCCCAATGTGTAAAATTTAACTGAAATTAGTTATCCTCTTTTTCACTTGGTTTTTGTTTCGAAAAAGAAGGAGAGATTTCACCTTCTTTTTGGTGGGGGGAATGTTCGAGCCCACTATGGCTCTCCCTTGTTCCACCGTCCAAGCCTCAACCGCGCACTTTCTCCGCCCCCGCGCAGGGAACCGACTGTGCGCCGACGAGAGGGATCTCTCCAGCTTTTCATCCCTGACCACCAGAGTTCGGGGTCTCATTTACATGCCCGTTCCCTTGTTTTTTCTAAGTTTTGAAAAGATAGGGGTTCGGCCAGTTCTCTGGTGAAATCAGACGCTCTCGACTTTGCCCTCGTCGCGCCCTAGTCGGAGCTCTCAATCCCATCCTTTCCACCCCGTGCACGCACGTTTACTGCTGCACAAGCCCTGGCTCGCACGTCTACTGCAGCTTTCCTATCCTTGTGCTCGCACGTATACTGCAGCACCCTGTCCCTGTGCTCGCACGTATACTGCAGCGCACCTTCTCCTATGTGCACGCACGACTAATGCTGCGCCTCCATCCTTCACCTGTCCCTTAACGTCTTTCCCCCGGACATAAGGATTCAAGTGTTATAATCCTATGTATGTATGTATTTGTCGTGTTTTCCCTGTGTAACGTGTACATATTTGTTGAGAAATAAAGATTAGAACTTTAAGATTAAGATCTCCTGCTGATGATCCATGTCGTGGGCTCGTAGCGGCAAATCGACTTTCTGAAGGAATCTTACATATCTTGGTTCTAGTCACGGCTCCTATTTCTCAGCTGGTCCCTCGCGCTCCCGCCCAAGGCCTATATATGTAAATAATATGATTGTCTTTTGTTCCAGATCATATCCCGGAGTTTCACTAATTTTAGGTTTCTCTACGAACTACCAACATCAAAATATTCTTAAGATGTTGGCAGACTATGTTTCAAGCAAGTTCAAGGCAGCAGTAATATTCTTGAAGTTTGGCAACAGTGGTTCGTGCCCATTAAGTACATGTCAATCAGTTAATCATTCTTTAAAATGAAGTTGAATGGAGAAAAAACAATCGTGCCAACTCTCGAAGATCACCGTCGGTCCAACATCCAGCCACAACTATCTATACACAATTTTTTAGCAGTCGTAAGATATACTCATAGGTGTTGACGCGAGAAATGTGTATGGGTTTTAGTACTATACATTTTAAAAAACACACAAATGAAGAGATGTGATATGATGTAATAAGATACACGCGATTTACAGGGTGCATGCTTCAAACTACCTTGCACTCGTAGTTGATGGATTCCTCCGCCTTAATCAGAGTGTTAGGAAGTTCACCAACGGAAAATATTTTCATAACTTTGTATTATTTTGATACTTTGTTCTATTTTTAACATATTATCTAATTTAGATGTGAATACATGTAAATAATTAAATTGTTTGAATTCACCATAGGTGGTTTTAATGTATAAAGCTATTTTTCAGAAACCTTTGTGGGTCACTTCCCTCCAAACATAGATTAAGATAAAAAACATCAATTGTTTGGTGAACAAATGTGCCCGCGCCCCAGTTGAGGCCCGCTGATGGGAAAATAGGGGGAGCATTATAGGTCTCTACAGTTATACATTTTGTTTATTTCTTGTTGTTGTTGTTGTTTTTTTTTTTTTTTTTTTTTTTTTTTTTTTTTTTTTTAAGAATAAAATTAAAAAATGTAAACCGTTTGGGGTCAGTTTTTGGCCTGAAAAATGACAATTTATAAAGAGGTATCCAAAAATAAGGTTTCCTTCATTTATTTTGAAGTAAATGTAAATGTCAAATTTCTACCAGATATTCTTCGAAATATTTGCGATGACAATTTGCTTTCATCGTATTATTGAATAAAGTGAGCATTCGTTTTTTAACCGAAAAATGAGACGAAATGAGGAAATAAGAACAACAAGGAGAGAATAAATAAAAGGGAAATCTTTTTGTTCTTGAAAATAGTTATTTTCATCGAGACCTCATCTAGGAAAAAATTCAGGTTGTTCAGGTTTGGCATCAGTAAAAAGCATTAAATGACCGTTTATTAAAATAAAACAATTTTATTCTTAAGCGAATGAAAATCAAAGGAATGTTACCTGTCGAAGTGTGTTTATCATAGAAATGAAAAGAACACATGCAATTGCACAAATATGACAAGGATTAAAGAACAAAACACGCGAAATATGGGTATTCAAGGCCAAAAACTAATTTGTTTATAGGACCGGGACGTATCGGGTTCCTTACAACCTCATTGTCAAACGGGGATAGGGAAAATGAGATTTAAAAAATGCACAAAAGCTGAGACTAACGTATCAAAGTCGGATGAAAAAAGTTCACAAATTAAGCCTTGCTTGAAATAGATGGACTTTTTTATTTTTAAAAAAAGGTCAGATGCGTAGATATATTACGATTGCAAGATGGCATCCAATTGACGGTTCATAAAACCGGGGAGCAAAATCATCCCACAGACTCATTAGATGATATGAGTTTTTCTCTTCCGAAAGTTTGTGGTTTTGGAGCTAAGTTTTGAAAAAATGACGGTTTTTTCCACCGTCAACGTCAGTTTTCTTAGGGCGAGTAATGCTCTCAAACAATGTGTTTCTTTCTGGAGGTGAATCCGGGATTGTGGGAAACTTGTGTATGATGAGGAGAAATTGAGATATTCCGTCCCTTTGACGTCAGAATGCCATTGTGCACACGAATAGTATAAAGTGCGTGCGCATTCATGTACGTTACCTTCTGTGTTCGTTCAAAACATCCGAATGATAGATGAGGTCTTTTCCGACCAAACAACATAAACCCATGTCAACGTTGCTGAGATTGTGTAAACATTCAACTGTTTAATTGGTAGACAGCCATAAGATCCGTTCTGAAATTTGCCTCAAATAATCTCTCCTCTTTTCTGAATAATATGACAAAGAAATTTGCAATGTGGGGGATTTCGTTTACTTGTATAAAAAGGGAAAAGTTGTAAAATCTTAGCGACGTTGCCATTAGTACATGCTGTTTGGTCGGAGAGGTACTCACTTTTTTTTATCACTTGTGCACTTAGAAGTTTTGGACGAGCCTTTTTTGAGTTATCCTGGTTACTTTATCCCATAAGATCAAAAGAGGATCACAATAAAATATAGGGTATCGCAGAAGTACCTGGACAAATGTAACCTTTTCCAAGCGGCACTAATCTCAATGAGCCTCAGTTGTGCCGACAGAAACTGCAAAAATGAATAAAAGAGGAGAAAGAACCGAGAAGCACGCAATCTTTAGTTTTAACTCATTTGCACATCGATCTTTTAGAGTCAAATAGCCAGCCTCAATAGTCAATAGTCAGCCTCAGTTGTGCCGACAGAAACTGCAAAAATGAATAAAAAAGGTGAAAAAACCGAGAAGCACGCAATCTTTAGTTTTAACTCATTTGTACATCGATCTTTTAGAGTCAAATACGTCAAATTTTGAGCGTTTGGTTGCGCGTACACCTCGCTGCAGTACAATAAAAGCACAAAATGTAAAAGAAAAAATTAAGGTGCTTTGGAAATCATTAAATTTGACATGGATCCACCAATATTTAAAACACACACATTATATTATTATTCTCCTTTGATAAATTGATACATATTTTTTCCCCATCGATTCAAATGAGAATAATCAATGCAGAGTGTGCAAACATTTCAAAATCATGAGTTAAAAAAAAACGCTGACTATGCGAGTATAAATATTAAAGCCTAGCAGAGCGGAGCGGCGTGCTGCCAGCGCGAGAGGCTCACTGGCCCCTACAAACCTAAGTGGATACTTCACGCATTGCACAATGCTTGAAGTATCCACTTGGGTTTGTAGGCGCCAATGCGCGGTTCGCGCTGGCCGCCCGCCCGCCGTGCGGCGGCGCCTGAAGTAACTATTTCACAACAGAAGGTGTTGCACAGTATCACACGAAATTGAACGTATTAAGAATGACAGGCATCCTTTGATGTTTCATTCGTCCCATTTTACATTTTTAGGGGTGCTCCCAGACGAAAATTTCTCGGGGAAACCAATGGAGCCACTTTTAAAACCTTAAAGTTTTGTATGAGCTATAAGTCACAGGCGTTTAAAGTTTCCAAATTTTGTCCGACCTCTCCTATTGACTCGATCCACTGTGCGTGAACCTTTCCTGAGCTCGCATCAGTTTCTAATCAAAGCTCAATGTTTTCGATAATCTTCAAGTTTATTTACCATTACGGATTTCATCCAAACATCGCATTATATGAGTCTTTCCAGTCATGATGGATTTCATCAGACTTTCTTTTATGGCCTCAGCCACCCCCCAGGATCCCGGAATGCGGAGCTTGAGTCCGCGCATCCGGCCCTGGTGGTTGGCGGGGGCTGAAAGCGGGCCGGACCGGAGGAGCAAGTCAAAGTTGACTAGTGCTTCGGATGGGGTTGGCCGGCCGCGTCGCTCGCTACTCGTAGGGAGGGGCGCTGCGAAGTCTGAGTCCCATGGGTGCAGTGGGTAGGACTCGGAGCGCCGGCGTAACACAGGACTCCTTGGAGTCCTGGCCGGGTGCCACCTGGAATCCCCCACACATCCACGGGAGGTAACCTTTCCGCTTCAGAGGCTCCAGTGCTGACGGACCCCTCGGGGTACGGATTCCCATCCTCAGAGCTGCTGGGAGGTTTAAATCCCTCCTGGCGGGGGTTAGGTACTCCGGAGGCAACGGGGTGCTCCTATGAGGGTGGGGTCCGGCTGGACACTGTTGCGGGGGGCCCTCTCGCCTGACGAGGTAATGGCCGTAGGCTGACCGTTGGGTGGGAATTAAACTCGGACAAAAGGGGATGCGTAGTGCGGATGCATCTCAAGGGGAGTGTCGTTAGTGTTTGGCGGGCCTACTGTCATAGGCCAAACCCACATAACCATTCACACTCCCGGACCGAGGTCCCCGAACAGCGATGCCCGGGGACGTTCCACTCGGACCGGGCCGCGATTGGTATCTGGTACCTGGGAGTGGGCCTGGAAAACCCCCCCGGGGCTCGCCGGATCTGGGGGCACTTCGGTTCCCCCTCAATCCAGTGCGGGAGAAAGCAGATTTTCACTTCCGTTTAAACAAAAAAAAAAAAAAAAAAAAAAAAAAAAAATGGCCTCAGCCGATAGACGCTTCTTGTTTGCGTTTTTGCCACCATACTTTTTCTATCGTAAAGCGCTCGAGCAATTGAATGGCTCACCAACTCTACGAAAAGTGGACGTATTTCTGCCAAACGAAACTATGTGCATTATGACGTGAGCCTTGTTATGCACGTATTCTTATGGGTTTCGGGGATCATGGCTTAATGCACATAGTTCCGTTTGGCAAAAATACGTCCATTTTTTGTTGAGTTGGTGAGCCATTTAATCGCTCGAGCGCTCTACTATACTGCCGTGCTAAGGAAAAACGTCATATGAGCCATCAGACGGGGCCAAGCTTTCCTCGATAAAAACCGACTTAAGTAGGAAAATTGTGAATATTTTCCCCCGAAATTTTCCGACGATTTGGTACGTAATTTAATCTAAAATATCTGAAAATTTCAAGGAAAAGTATGCATGAATGTCGGCGTACATGCATGTTTTATCAAAGGAAATTTGGTAACTCTCGAATGTTTATACGGTCTTTTCCCTTAGCACGGTGGTATAGAAGAAGTCTGGTGGCAAAACGCAAACAAGAAGCGTTCGCCTATCGGCGAGATTCTCAGAATTTTCTTTTTTCTATCTAATATTACCCCTTTTGACGTCATTAACTATAAATCAGCGGATGAAATAAGTAACATTCTCAAATTTTTCTTTGCTGAGAAGTATATAGTTATTTTATTATTATGTCTGAAAGTCCAATTGTATTGAGTTCTTTCCATCCGAACTTTTTGCCACCGGTGATGATTATTTCTGGGCCTGTTAAAATTCGCCTCCACATGACACAGCTGAATGTTGCGTCACCGTTACCATGGATGAAGATTTCGAGCCACGTCATTTTATTTCAATCCTGTTCTTTGTGCTTTGAGTATCGCATTTTTCCCTTTATGACTTAAAAAAAATACATAAAACGACATAAAATTTGATACTTTTTCACTAAAAAAAAATTAAGCTGCGGAGTGCTTCTCTAGTACCTATGTGATAGAGCTTTCTTGCTTGTTCTTATTTATTTTTCTTTTAAGCCAAATGTGCTATTTCATTTACGTAACCATTGATAAATGTCGAAGTCAATAACTTGAAAAGTATCCACATATTTCTAGTTTTCATATGAATGAGATTGATAGAAAAATCAAGAGGATGTGATGGGATTATTGTGCTTAATATTCTCCCCTAAAAAATGGGCTCAAAAGTATTAGCA